TGGTCTGATATTGTATATGTATTCCCAGAATGAACATGCTTGATTTCAAGGTAAGAACTGAAGATAGTACATCATAAAAAGCAACATCACACCTTCTCCTCCAGGTCGGCCTTCAGCTGGCTCTTCTCCGCCCGGACCGACTCCAGGATTTCCTGCAGCTGCTCTCTCTCCTGAGTGAGGGAGGCGACGTGGGTCCTCAGCTCCTGCAGGTCAGCCTCAGTTCTCTGAGTCGAGTCTCCCTTCTCAAACAGGAGAGAATCCCGCTCGCTGCTCACCAACTGCAGCTCTTCCGATACATTTAAAACCTGAAATGTAGATTTAAAAAAAAAAAAGCATCTCATTCTCATGTTTCTTAGATGGCATGGAGCAGGTGCATTTTATTCTACAAGATTTAATCAGATGAGTTAAGATTTCATCTGTATTTCTATTAGAATGGTCAAGTGGACTCAGTCACTTTTAGACCAGGTCAGTTGAATTGTTAGTGGGAAATAAGTTATTAGTTTTCACTAGGTCCCATTTGCATGGAAGATTTCCATTGCCTTCAGAGTTTAGGGTGACTTTATTAACCATTTTAAACATCATATCTATTATTGATGGACACTACAATAGTGCAGATGCATCTACTGGTGAAAAATGCACATTCTGATTTTAACCCTTAGTTTGCACAGGACTGAAATTCATGATGATCTGGTCCTGGGAAGATTAAGGATTAAAGATCTGTCATCTGTAAATTCTGTTCCAAGTACACAGGCCATGATGTTATGTGAAAAGCAGTCAAGCTAGTTTGACAAATGCCAAAACTGTGAACTTTCAAATGGGGAAACTGAATTGGCCAAACCTGTTTAAAGGACGTTCACTTGAGGAAAAAAATAATAGAAAAAGCCTTTTCAGTTGCAAAAACGTTTTGCAAACTGAACATCATTTTTTATTTTTATTTTTTGCAATTGAACTTTGTTGCTTGCGCAGAACTTGAAAAAACAACACACTGTACCACTTAAGAAACACCAGGTGTTAACAGGCACAAAGAACACATCTACATCTGAACTTCTCTCTTGGGATTTGAAAACAAAACTCAACTAACCTGCAGTTTCAGGTCTTCCATTCCATTTAGACATTGCTGTTTTTCTATAGACGAGCTCTCCAATTCAGTTTTGAGCTTCTCACAGTCTTCAGCAACCTCCACATACTGTGCCTGCACTGCGCTGTGCTGTTCGGACAGATTTGCCATCTTCTGGTCTGCCTCACTTAGCTTTGTTTGCGTTTCCCTCAGGTCTTCGGTTACTTGCTGCACAGCTTCTGTCAGCCTCTGGATTTCCTCATCTCTTTCCACTTTTGCAGAGAGCAGGTCGTCCCGTTCCACCCGGGTGACACATAACTCATTAGAGACGTCACACACCTAGAAACACAAAAGTTCCAACATCACAGACCTGCGACATTCAATTCTGAAACCCTTCTAGAATTTCAGCACGTTTTGTATTACTAATATATACATACACATAAACACCACAGTGGTGCACTTGTTAGCATTGCTGCCTTGCAGTGCTAACTGGTATTGTCCCACAATCCAAACTCAGAAACTCAGCTGTGCAGATAGGTTATGAGGCCCTGGTGCGAGAGTGTGTGTTGGTGTCTGTGTGTGCCCTGCAATGGACTGGCATCCAGTCCAGGGTGTATCCTGCCTTCGGCTCAATGCTTTCTGGGATAGGCTCTGGGACATCACGACCCTGAACTGGATGAAGTGGTTATAGAAAGTGATGTTATATATATGCACCTTTAAAAGACCAACACAGTGAAAGCGGCAGATCACCTGTTTCATCAAGTCATCCACCTTGTCAGGAAGGTTCTTGAGAGCAGAGAGAGAATTAACTTCGGTTTGCAAGGCTCTCTCCCCTTCCTGGGATTTTTCCAGCTCTTTCTTGAGCTCTGCAACGCTTTTCTCCAGATCTAAACGCTCAATGAGATCTGAAATGAAGAAAGATCCATGTCATGGCACAAAGGTACTTCTAGAGCAATCAACTTAAACTGCCTTTACTCTAGCACAATTTAACAATTGCCTAGTTTAAGTTAAGGATCCATCTCTTAACCTCTGCCCCCCCCATTTGTGTAGCATTATATACAAAATATAAAATCATATATATACTTTTGGGGACTTTCCCATCCAGAAGGGTGTTCAGCTTGGCGTTTTCTTCAAAAGCCATCAGGAGCTCTTTCTGCAGGTCCGTCTCCATCCTTTTAAAGCGCATCTTCTCCGACTCCAGTTGGCTGCGCAGCTGGTTCACCTCCACCTCCATCTGCTTATACCTGGCTGCCATGTCGTTCTGTGCAAGAAAGACCGCAAAGGAATCAGCAGCCCGCTTAGCCTGCCTGCAGGCGAGCCAACACACAGCAGCCTCACTGGGGCCTTTACCTCCCTCTCCTTCAGCGCCAGGTTCTCACTGCGCAGGAAGGCCCACTCCTTCTTCGTGTCGCGGCTCACTGCCTCCGCATCGCCGAGAGAGTGCTTCAGGTTCCGGATCTGCTCCGTTAAGTCCTTGCCGCCCTTGAAGGGAGAAACCAACAGCTTAGAAAGACCACGATTACACGGACTTGCAAAAGGTTCGGCATGTCGGTCAACTATTCGGCCAAAGAAGTTAATTGGCTTCAGTGGCAGAGGGGCAGTGGCGTTACTGTTTATATTGTAAAACCTACCATATTCTCAAGTTCTGCAATCCACTCCTCTTTGTTTTGCAGTTCATTGGATTTTGCCTCCAACTCAGCCTAGGAAATAAAGATCTTATTAGAAAAGAACCAGCAATCACAGCTAATTTATTGTTTCTCCCCACAAATCTTAATCTCTGCCCAAACATCACTGCCCTCAATCCAAGGGAGTCTATATATTGCATAGCTCCCTTGCATAAACATCAAAAAGTTGGAAAACGTTATTAGATGCTGTATTAGTTCCTGTTTTAGAATGGAGATATCACTATAGGAATGCTTCACCTTTTATTGTCCAAGATGCATCTTTCTATCAAAAGAGATCAGGAACAATAAATAATCCCTGAGTCACGAATCACATGCAAGATTCCAACATTGACAAAACTCAGGTCTGAGCTTGGAGAAAACTGCAATGGCTCATGCAATCATTAAAAAAAAGATTGCACTCCTTCATAATATGGACCATATTGAAGACCTTTGACAGCAAAGGATAAGGAATTGCAAGGATTTTGTTAACCATCCTGCACACGGCAGAATTAAAAAGCTCTCACTTTTCCTCACCTTCAGATTTTGGATGCACACACCAGAATTCTCTAGCTCCATCTTTAAGCTGGTGATTTCTTTCGCTAACTCAGTCTGTGGAGCAATTAAATAAGCAAAACAGAAGCAAAGGAGGGGTTAGGAAGCAGCCACCTGATTCGCTCCTAAATCAACAGCCCAGTTCATCATGCAGGACTTCATACAAAACAAAGCAAAACATTTCCTGGTCACTCTTGCATGCCGCTCGGCATCAAATCAGATACAACATGTAAACAAAAAAAAAGACTTTAAAACAACATTTCTGATTCTTGTTCTTCAGTAAGTTGTTTGATCTTGATTATTTTCTCACCTGCCAATTCAAAACACTTTGATTTCTGTATAAAGTTTTCATAATCAAAGCTCTTTGCTATGATAATTAACCCAGTGTGGTCCTGTGTGCATGAAACCGCAGTTCCCCCGCAGGTTATGTTTCAGCGGACTGCAGATCAAGAGCACTTGAAAAGAAACACGGACGCAGGTTTTTAATGCAATGACGTTTTGCCTAGCACTAAGCATTTGATGGTCTTAAACTATGCTTACAAGTGTGAATTGACATTACAGTATCAACACCAAAAAAGTATAAAATACATTTTCCCCCAAGGTTAGTAGATTCCTGAAGGCAGGTTTTAGCGGGACATCAGTGTAGGGGAGATTAAAATGTGATTGCACATGCAGTCTGTTCTATACCCAAGGAAACTGCAGTCCATATCCATACAAGTACTGTTCAAAGTAAACTATTAAAGTCACCTCAGACTGCTTGTGCACCTCCTGCTCTAAAATGTTGAACTCGTGCTGCTCTTCCTTCTCAATGATCTCCTGCTGAAGGCGCACTTTCTCCTGCTGCAGCCCTTCCTTTTCCTTCCACAAAGCGTCCAGCTCCTCCTTCAGCAAGTTCAGCTTTGCACTCAGCTCCTCCTGATCGATATTGGTAGTAAAAACAAAATATGGAGCAAACAGATAGGCTACATTGTCATGTGTGATGTGTATTTGCAGATTTATACTATAAAAGGATGGTTGTGCAATGTCATCGGCACTTCGAATGGCTTGATCTCTTCTTTAAAATAAAAAAACAGAACAAGACTGTAAAAAAAGTCAATAAAGCCTACCTTCTCAGCCACCAGAGTCTCACAGAGCTGAATAGTGTCTCTAAAATCCTTTTCGTACTGTAGAAAGATAATGCATATGTAAACTGCTTTTAGGTGTAATAGAAAATTCTACTTCAGTGCATTTTCCACACAGCATAAACTCAAATTTCCTTCAGTGAAGAAATTGCATTTAACCCCTATGATATTTAGTAATGAACTGATCCAAGGATCTCATGCAGCCCTTTCTTGAACAAATGTAGAGGCTTGGCTTCAACACCTGAGCAGGTTGTTCCGTTGTCCCCTCTGGGAACAGGAGTGTGGAACAGGCTGTCGAAGGCGATGCCTCCGGTAACTACTTGCCATTTTACAAAGAGCCTCGCGGCAGCCCTCCACATGGCTCCCTTCACCCCGGGGGTCCTGCGCCTTCAAGGCCTCCTCCAGCTCGGACACCCGCTTCTCCGCTGCGTTCTGCTTTTCCACGGCTTCCCACGTCTCCCGGATCTTCTTCTGCAGCTCCTCCTCCAAACCCGCGATCCTTTCCTTCACTTCGCTCAGCTGGATCTGAGAAGACAAACTATCAGACGCGAACCGGATTAAAAACAGACCACTAACCGTGTACAGGGGCTACACCTTGGGAAGATCGACTCTCAGAACTCCACCAAAGGAGACGAAGAGCAAATAAACACCACGTAAATCAAGCTGAAAATATTGGAATTGGGCATTCTAAAAGATTAAAAGGATATATCAACATTAAGACACATACGTTCAGAGGAAATTAGGTTTCTTGCAATTCTTTGAAAATGAAACCACAGAATGTAATCCTCTGTTTCAGCCCCAGTGGCCCATGGCTACTACTGTAGGGACTGATAACTCATAAGACCAAATGAGGCTGGGGAGAAAATTTGGGAAAATGCTAAAAATTAGTTACAAGATATTAAAAATGAAAGCACCAAAACAGTAATATGTTTATGAAAAATGTAGAACACACATTATTTTTGAAAAATAGAAAAATAATTGACACAAAATAATATGCTTAAATGTTTAACAATTTACATGCACTCTTTTTTTTTTTAGAAACAGTGACCTGTGAGACTAACTGGTTTGGGGCTCTTCATGATCAGGGCTAGAGAGACCCATCTTGATCAGAACTCACAAGCCAAGCAGACACAGAGGCCCTCTGGTATGCTGACAGTACAGTATACCAGCAGAAAAACAGACTGGCACTGAAGCCAAGCTCACCCACCTATTTGGAGTGGATGCCGAAACATCGGAAACCGTGGACTGTACAACCCTGCTCCTGCGCACAGACACGTTGCTCATGTTCATCTCCACGTCAAAGGGGAAATCTTCAATGTTATGTTGCCACACGTCCTCTCCCTCAATGTCTAATGCTTAAATTGAGAGACAAAATAAGCTTAGCAAAAGAGCTGACATTAGCACAGGGGAGGGCATTCTGCAGTTTTTCATTACAAACCAACTATTGAGCTCAAGGATGATTCAGTCAAAGTCAGAACTCACTGTCATCTGGTTCTATTAATGCAGATAAGTCCGATTTCTTTCTTTTGGTGGCGTGTTCAAGAAAGCCAATGTCTCCGAAATGAAAGCCTTCGGACTGCCTTCCTCGCAGCAGTTTTCCACCCCATGTCATCCTCCTCTTGCTCCGGATCTGACAAATTAAACAAGTCAGATAGTACAGTGTGCAGTACGCAACAACTCCTTACTGACAGTAAAGTCTGGATACATATTAATTGGAGCTTCCCTGTTACATGTGTATTAAGATCCATTTATATGCAGCAGTTAGGTAATGAAAAGGCAGGCAGAAAAGTTGTACTGCAAAATATTGCAAACATGACTGTAAAATGTACACAACCATTCTTTCAATCTGTCCTGCAATCACCTTTACATCATTGATGGCAAAACTGGAAGAGGTAATGACGATCTTTGTCAAGTTCCTAATTCTGTCCTCCTGCTCCTTCTGAAGCTGGTCTTTTTCCTGCAGCAGCTGGGCCAGGACTTCCTTCTCGGTTGCTTGCATTCGTGTCTCAGAAGAAACCTAACCACACAACAAAGGGACACTATTTTCACCAGGAGACATCGTTAAACCTTTCACAATTGATAACTGAGGTATAGCCCTTATCACAGCTAAAGTAAACTGGCTGCCATTCTGACATACGTTAAACATGTTGTTACAGCTTTAGGTGACTTTGAGGTGTCTCTTAGATTTTCATATTAAAGATTATGATTAGATCATACTGAGTTCAGTGACTAATAGCAGTCTGGGGTTTTCTGGGTGACAAGAATGCTGAGGTCTGGGGGGGTCCCTTGAGCAGAAACAATGATAATGTTTACTGTAGTATACCTAGGGAAGTTGTGGATTAATGATTGACGCTATTTAGCTTATTGCACTTGTTTGCTTAATAGTAACTTCTTAATCTAAGGATCTTAACAGCGGTTTTTCAAGATATGGCTGGTTATCTTGCTTCACCAGGACTTATTCCCCAGTCTTCTATATTCAGGGTATCCTGCTTCTTTTGATTTTCACTGTCTTTTGCTCCTTACTTACCTGTTGAAGTTGTATTTCCAAGCTCTGAACTCACCCCAGACTAAGGGATTTCTTTTAACACCACTTTCACAGCTGCACACATGAAATCTGGGCCAAGAGGATAATGATTACAATGTAACAAGGCTGTTATCTTAGCAGCGCACAAAAATAACATACCTCTTCCAGACGTCTTTTCAGATCCACAATTTCATTTCTGTATCTCCTCATCAGTGCTCCATCATCCAGCACCTCGTTAACATGTGGATCATTTTTCATGTGCTTAGCTGTACTGGCAAACTAGATGGGGGGCAGTTCATTTTGAAAAGTTACCAAGAAGCACATTGGCAATGAAACTGCCGAACATAAGGCTGTCAATACAAAGAGTGATTTCTTTCTTACCTGAAGAGTGCTGAGGGTTTCTTCCACTGTGGCTGGAGTAATGGTGCAAATAATCACAGTCTTGGCATTACCACCAAGAGAGTTCTGCAGAATCCTGGTGAGTTTACTGTCCCTGTAATTGGTAAAACCCCTGGAACAAGAAAGGAAAGATATTTCACTCTTGACCCGGAAGAATGAGAAGGGAACAAAATAAACAAAATAATGGATGCCGGAGCAGTCAAACAAAGAAGTCTTAATTTTTTCACATTGGGACAGCAGAACAAATTACAGATTAGCATTCCAGACCACTGAAGAGATTTTGGCTCCAGCAAGCCCAAAGGTAGCAAAGGTGTTTGGAAAAAGCAGAATTCAACTTACCCACCATTACCATCAGTCAGTTTTTTGATAACCTGGCCCAGAGTAAATAAGCTGCGATTTATGTTGCACCCTTCTTTCAATCGCAAGCCTAAAACACAGGACATGCCTTTTTAGTGAAATATTTAATTTGCAGAAAACCATTATCCCTATGAGTTAAGTAGTGAGATCATCTGATGCTTTAATAATAAGTAGATCACCTCAAATCACCCATTTCTAAAGATTAAGAACACTTGTAATTTGATTAACCAAATATTGGAGACCCTCTCCTCTTTGGTACTGGAGAAAGTGGGTTCAAAAATTATGACTGAGTATGACTTAAACTATTTGACTAAGTGCCTTTCACAGAAAAAAAAAATCACAAAGCACTGTACATTACAAATAACTTGTATACAAAAGAAAACATACACAGTACAAAAACACATAAGAGAAAGTAGGCAAAAATAAATTAGAGGATCACTATCTATACAGCGTACAATTTGGGACACTCGCTAGTCCAATAGCTTATCACTAACCCTGTGATTGAGGACTGAAAATGAAAAGGGATGGGGTTGATGTTCACTATACTCTGTGTAATTTCAGAAATGCAAGATGCCCAGAAGGAAGTGTTACAGCTGCTAGACGAATATTTGTTACCTTCAGCCCCTGTCTGGCTGGCTCTTTCACTGCCTGCCAAGTCCACCAAATTCTAGAGAAGACAAAAAGGCAATTTAGAGAAAGTACTGTATGATTCCAGTGCTTATAGGACCCAAACTATAGTCATCTACTGTATTTAAAACCATGAAGGAATGAGGAGGCATGAATTCCCTCTACAATTGCTTTTGCTTTTTAGCAACGAGGGAATGGAGTTAAATCTCCTATAGATGGGGATAGTTTCCAACAGACATTGCTACTTTTACAATCAAATTCAGTTCTGTTGGTTTAATTATTTACATTTTGATTCTAAGCGCAGAAATACAGTTTGAAGCATGTACTGTAGGCGATGTTAAAGCAGAACAGAGAGAAACTATAGCAATACATGATGCCACAAGTCTGGAGTGATTCAGGAACTCAAATCTCTGGTGAAAAGTCAGAGGGTGAAAGAAATAAGAATACGATCTAAACATTTCTGCATTTGCTCTGGTTAATTAGGTACTTATTCACTTCATCTGCTTTAACCCCTATGATTTTTCTAATTGTGCTCAAATAATGTCAAATTCATTGACATTAAGAACACTCCAAAAGCAGAGACTTCACTAAATGAATTCCCTTAAAGGATCTACTGCACATCATTTAAATAACAGAAAGCTACAATTAGTTTACTAGAAAAAACTTGAAGCTGTATTTAGAATCCATCTAGTCTGAAAGTGCAAAATGCCTTTTTACATCTCCGCTAAGGTTATGATCCTTTCTTCCACACAGGTAGAAAGTGTGAAAGTGCAGACTGGATATTCTGACCCACCACTGTGCCATTTACAGTTCAGCATTCATGGCTGGGAATCCAAGCCTACACTCAGCAGTGCTGAGCCAGTTGTTCTCCGTCACTTGGGAAATACTGATCTCGTGACAAGACCACATTTGAAATCCTGTTAAACCTGTTTTAAGTTGTATTTTACAGCTTACCAGATGGGAAACCATGACTGCCTGATCTGCAATTTCCCCACTAGAGGGATCGCTCCGTTCACGGCTCTCCAAAATCTAAAAAAAAAAAAACACCCACATAGAACAAATTAAAACTGCATTGTCTCAGTGATTGGACAGATTGACCACAATGTCAAAATGAGAATAATTTCTAAATATATTGTTATATGTAAGTTAAAATATAATTTAAGACAAATGTTCCCACTGTAAAGTCAGTGCAAATTTCTAACAACTAAAGTAATTTCATAAAATACTGCAATGCCCCACCACACAAATTAACCACACAAAATGTGCACCATCACTGAAGAAGCAGTAAGCGTGTGAGACTTACCATTCTGAAAATAGTATGGGACCGGCTACTTCGTTGATTCATTTTGGTGTCCCCATAATGTCGATTTTCTTAAAAACACAAGAGTAGCTAGATCTGAACATCTTGCAATATTAATGAAGATGTAAGAAAATTGTCAGCATTACTAATTGTGATAAGGATCATATCAAGGCAGAAAATCTATCCAAGATGAAACAGACCAAAGAGAAACTATAACATATTAACCTAATTATCACAATAATGCCTTGTGATTTATAGTCATTTTGTTCCAAGTCTCTAAATAACATTGTAGAAATAAGGATAGTGCACCCCAAAAAACAAATCTGAAATCTCAAAACATGCTTCCTTTCCTACAATCATAGTTTTATCTCTTGCAACCTTTAAAATACATGTAGCATAAAAATAAAAACGGTCATGTGAAATCTAGACAAACAGACAAGTATTTTTAAAATACATTCTTACTTTCTCCCTTCTTAATCCATTCCAGGACTTGACTAGCTGATACGACAACTTCTTCGGTAAGATCTGCTACATAAACAGTTCTCTGAAAAAGGTTTTTAAAAATAAAAAATTAGGTTTACGAAAATACAGTAAGACATTGAAATACTTTGGAAAGAATGAAGAACAAAAACAGATATCACACTGCAGTAGAAGCAAGAATTAATGGATATTTGTTAATTGTACAACAAAGTAAATCTGATGTACACACAGGTTAGCTTCAATAACAAACAGGCACCATTTTTAATGATCACAACAGTGTTTTACTCAGTTTGGAAAGCCTCCTGTGAAATCCCTAATCCTCCAGATTTCTGTCACTGGAAGCTGAAATGTTTTGCAGTCACACAAAATACAACGTAAGCAAGTTATTTATATCAGTTGACTCACATTGATCCCTTCTCGGATTTCCAGAGGTTTCCTCTTGGTACTGTCAACCAGCAGGTCTGTAACTGTCTCGTTGTAGATTTCCATGTAGGACACACGCAGCAGAAACTCCATGTTTTGAGACTGAAACAGCGAAAATTAAAATTCCATGGAAGCTGGGGATCAGTTACAATTAACTGTTTTTTGGCTGCAAAATGTTGATCTTCAGAAAACTTTGATCTCTTAACAATCATAAACAATTAAGAATTAACAAAATATTAAAAGATGATTCTGTTTCTAATATCAAAGATATCAAAAGATGATGCTGCAAAGGTCCTTCGGAATCTGTTGATTACGAAGCACCACTGCAATCTGATAGTTTTAAAGTTCCTCTGTAGTTTACAACACAGTGTTGATAAACATTTACGAGGCTTCAATAAAATATTATAAAAGTGTATAATTGTAGAAGTTGTCTTATCTGTTGCTTCACTCAAAATGTGCATAAAATAACCATTTTAAATCTCAATGTTACAAGAATACATAGTGTCTGACCTACCTGTGCAATGGTTTCAAATATGTCATGGATTGCCAGAGGTATTACTCCCAGAGACTCATTACTGCCCATCATTGTGAAAGTCTTTCCTGAAGAGGTTTGCCCATATGCAAAGATAGTGCCTATGAAAAAAGAACAGAACAAAATCTCTGGAGCGAAGATAGGTACCAAACACAGGTCAACCACTAAGCAGATTTAATTCATAAAACGACTAAATATTTCAAGCTAGTGTAACAAGAAAATAAATACTGTACACACTTATCATTTTTCAGCGATTTGTCCAGATACAGACCACCTTAACTGAGTGGGCACGGGATGCCCTTACCATTGTAGCCTTTGATAGCAGAAATGACGAGAGGCTTGGCAACTTCATCGTAAACCTGAGACGTTGATTCGTTGACATTAAAGACTCTGTCTGCAATGAGAAAAGAGGAAAAAACATTCATAACAGGAAATGAAATACATAGCAACTAAAATGCTTTAGCATCCCATAGGATTCAAGCATTACAGCAGCCGTTCAAATAAGTAGAGAGATCGCAGGTAACCTGACATGTGAATGTATTAATGAATACAAATAGAGAACTATGCTTAAGCAGACATTCATCCTACATCCTACATACAATCCACGTTCTGCGCCAGGCCTCGAATGCCTATACTTAAAAAGTTACTACAAAATTTCTAGGGGCACATCAATCCAGAGGCAAAATGGTCTCCAAAAAGCCTCAGGGAGCAAGGGATTTTAACATCTACTTACCAAAGCTGAACGTTTTCGGGCCATCAACCTGGTAAACAGTCTGTTGATCGGTTTTCCAATATATTGGCACAGACTCTACATTTGACACCTCAGCTTCTTCCCTGTTCGATAACAAAACGTGAAGCGCAATTTTTTTCATTAACAACTCGGGAAACTCCAGATCTTCATTCTTAATTTCGATCAAAAACAATTGATGGGTAATACATCTCCAAATCCAAAATTAATCCAAATACATATAGACAAACTAAAATTTGATAACGTTCCTCGACACATTCAACATAAAAAGAATTGCATGCTTTATAAGTCAAACATATGCGCCAGGCTTTGAAACATTCTTATTTCTCAGATCATTGCATTGTCAGAGCTAAGCCCATTAAAAAACAAAATCTTGATTATCGATTATCATAAAAACGTTTCCATATTTCAAGAGGGTTGGGATACGATATCTAACCAAAAATAAAAATTCACAGCCGAGAAAATAGCTGCAAAAAAATTACCTCTGAATTAGCGGACGAACCCTCACACAAACTTTAACTGCCGATTCTCCTGCCATTTTATACAATAACTAAAATCCTGTAAAGTAATATCTAAAACCCAGTATTACAATAGTGCCAACCACCCTGCCGTTCTCAGTTTAAAATTTTTCATGTTCGAATTCATTGGACAGCGTCACTCGCTTGGCTGTACCAAAATAATGTTTACAGAGGGGGAGGCTGTACATGCGGTACGTGAATGAACATGTATCACTACTGAAAAAAAATGTATTGAGTATGTTTTAATATATGGTATATTTGTGATGTTTCTTTTTAAATTAATTTCCCCATGTTTAAGTTTCTTTCTTTTCATAACCAGTTTTCCTGGCCATTTTTGGTTTGACCACAAGTTGGTCGGTGATGTCATCACACCGCGACGTAGTATCGTCAACATGTGTTTGGAAGGCAGCGTGTTTTAGGTAATGGATATTTACAACTAAGGCAATTTTGCAATTGATGTTGTAATGAAATGTGGTTATTAAGATTTTTTTTCTGAATATAACGTTTGTTATTGCACTTCATTCGTATTTCAACGTGATGTATTTATGAAGTTATTTACTATGTTTCAAGGTTTAATGGGATCATCTCCTACTTTATACAGCATTGCTGAGGTCTCTTGTCTTAAATCAGTTGGGAATTGAAGCAAGATATTAAAAAATGTAAAGTATGATCAACTTGAAGAGTGACATTTCCGTCAACAGACATCCTTTAAGGTGACACGAGGTTCTCTGGCAAGATAAATTGGGAGATGGCGCTGTTTCTCATAAACAGGTAAGAATCCTGACTTTTAACATTTGCAGCTAAAATAAAGTTTGTTCATTCAACACCAAATTCATCCAACCGGTGTCGGGAAAATGTAGTTGACTGTTTGACTCCTGTATTGTGTATCGGGGAGTTTCCATGCACTTTTGTATTAAATCGACTGGGTGCAAGGATTTCAGCTACACAGGTACACTGTAAATGTCTGAATTTTAGAGGCGGTGTTTCTGTTCCAGGTACCTAGGGGAGGAGGAGGAGTGTCGGGATGATGACAGCCAGTCCAGGTCTAAAGCGCTTCTGGCGAAGTTGCAAGAGCAGGCCAGAGCAAGGCAGCAACAGAAAACGCCGAAGGGGAAAGAGACGGAGCAGCCTGGTCTTCCAGTCCAGATCGACACCCCCCGGGGCAAGCAGAAAAAGACTGGTGGGGAACAGGAGTCTACAGATGTAGTATGTAAAAAGAACAAGAAAAATGTAAGTAAAGCTCCATCTTCTCAAAGTGACTCGGAGGACGGCCAGAGAACAGGAGCAAGACCGACACCGGAGCTTTCAAACTACTGTTCTGATGCAGATGCTGACACGATCCCTCAAATTTTGCCTGGGAAAAAAAGGAAGAGGAAAAATACAATGCCAGATGGTCCAGGAATTGAGGGGAAAGCAGAGGCCAATGATTCAGGTATCTTAGTCTTCTGAAGCTCTTTGTCTGTTGCAGTTAGGTTTGTGTACTGCATGAACTGTGAGGATACCCATCTGTTTTCTGTGCGTGTACCCTTGCCGGGTGAACGGATCCTTTCTTGGGCTTACAGAAGCTGGAGAGACATCATCAAAGTGGTTTTCAGAGACCCGCAGGAGTGAGGCCTTTTGCGAGCCTTATATCTTATGTGCATTTTCCCAATTCTGTCTGTAATGTTTCAGATGGCAACAGCGAAAAACCATTGAAATCCAAAAAGAGGAAGAAGGCACCAGAGGGGAAAGGAAAACCAGAGGAAGAGAGGCCTGCTGAAGATGGAAGGGGCAAAGACCCAGGAAGTGAAGAGGGGAGGGATAGTGAAGAGACCGTGGGAGAAATGAAGGAGGAGATAAGCGAGCAGAGAGAGACCCCTGTCCAAAGTAAAGATCAGAATCAGTCCCAGTCTTGCTTCACAGTTTTGGGAGGTTTTGAGAAAAAAGCAGTGCAGAAGGTAACTTTTCTGTATTGTATACTCAGAGTTTAGCCCTCCTCCTCTCCTGTAATTAGGAGGTCTTCAAAATGAGTTTGCGTGATAATGTTGGTGGTTCTGTGAAATTTGTTAATCCCAATTGCTCGCCACAGCCAGATTCAAGTGGTCTTGGTTTATTGGCCACAACTCCATTAATACTTTTAATTGAAGCTTAACATTGTTAAAGAGCCTAACTATGGTTTTGGAACAGCAAGTCAAATTTTCCTGTTCTTTTTTTTTATTACGGTTAAGATCAAATACTCAATGTAATAAATCTGATTATTTACTGGAAAATGATACTCAAGGAATGAAATAGGGAAGTGGTAATAACTCTGCATCACAGAGAGTTTGGGTGAGAGGTACATTCTTATTTATGTACTGGCAGTGACAGGTTTGGGAAAGTCAACCTGCTTCTTCTAAAGTAAAGTTAGAACAGAGTCATGTGATGTTGTGGAAAGGGAAGAACAGCGAGGATTTTCAGAACTGTAATTGGACATGAAGAAGGGCATTGTGAAGGAGGGTCCGAGAACAACCCTTCTTTTTCGATTAATGTCTCAGGTCTACAGGGTTCTGCCTCATTGGCTGGCTCAGCCTAACCTGATCCACAGAGACATCAAGAGCAACTTGGTACCAGTTGTCGATGTCCCAGGACTCTGCCCCAGACTTCTAAAGAAGCTGGAGAGCTGTGGAATCCAGCACTTCTTTCCAGGTGAGTGAGTTTCTGTGCATTTCAGGAAAATGGACGGACCTTATAAAGCCTACCAGTCAGAGTGAAGCTGGTTTTGTGGGTTATTGCTCACAGGTTAAAACAAAGTAATTCCAAGTTGTCTCGCTAAGGCCTTGTTGTGAGGCCCGTCCTTGTTTCACGGCTGTTGATTTCCTGTGCTGTGTGCAGTGCAAGCCGAAGTGATCCCTGCCATTCTGGAGAGTGCACCCCATGGCATGCTGGTTGGCAGAGGGGGCTATAGGCCCCGGGACATCTGTGTATCCGCGCCAACGGGCAGCGGCAAGACGTTGGCATTTGTCATCCCAGTGGTTCAGGTATCGTCCCATAACATTTTACCTTGTAAAAATTTAATTTAACGGCATCTTTCATGTAACTGTTGTAATCCAGATTTCTCGCACACACATATTTGTGCACACTTGTGAAGGGAATGCCTGAATAAATAAAGGATGATATCATTTTTAAACTTCTTCACATTAGGAGAAATAAGCTAATGACCTGTTCTCTCTTAACTTTACTTAATAAAATCTGGAGCATGCAAAAACCAAATTGGTAACATACAGAATTAATTAAGTTATATTTTTCTTTAATGACATTGAAACATTCTGATTGTTGTGAGTTAATGAATGGTAAGTGACTCTGGCCAGTGCTTGTATTTATCGGTTGATAAACCGATGACCAGTCCAGAGCCTAGAGTCCTGGCCAGCCACAGGAGCCTTTTCATCTGACAGCTCTTTACACGTTTGCCACAGTTGTAGTTGTTCTTCAATCATCCACGTCCCCTTTTTTGGCAGATGTTGATGAAGAGGGTGGTCTGTGAGGTTCGGGCTCTGGCAGTCCTGCCCACCAAGGAGTTGGCACAGCAGGTATACAGGATGCACAGTATATGATCAAAAAATGGTTGCTCTGTGACACTAAGTAGCACAAAAGAAGTCTGCTATTTTTCAGTGTAGACTGTGAAGACTGGTGTTTTATATTTGCATTGACCAAAGTAATTTTGTAATGCATAGCACATCTGATAAAGTTTTAGAAGCTCCTATATTGTTAGTTCTGGTCTTTGAGTCCCTATGACATCATTATAGTAATGCTCATTAATATATCCCAGGGCCAAATTTCCCATTGGCCCTTACCAATCATGGCCTCCTAATAATACCCATCTATGAAATTGGTTTCATTACTCTGCTCTCCTCCCCACTAATAGCTGATGTGTGATGAGCGTTCTGGCGCACTATGGCTGCCGTCGCATCATCCGGGTGGATGCTGCACATTGGTAGTGGTGGTGGAGGGGAATCCCCATTACCTGTAAAGCGCTTTGAGTGGGGTGTCCAAAAAAGCACTTTATAAATGTAAGCAATTATTATTATCATTAATAAATTCTGGCATGCCTTTGAGATAGAAGTAGTATAATCCTAAGAAGATGCAGAGTCATGTGTAGATTCTCCTGCTGTAAATGCAGGTGTTGTCGGTTTCAGGGGCTCTGGAGGGCTTGTGGTCACGGGTGCGAGCCTGAGTCATGGTACTCACCAGCTGTGCACAATGGGTTGAGCTCCGCTGTTGGTAGGGAGGGAAAGGTTGACCCGGGATGTCTCTAGCAGATTTGTCATGCTGTCAGTGAGGGACACACCTCTCCTCCACCTGCCAGTGGACCTCTGGTAGGGGATTGTGCTTCATGGGATGCGTTAGAAGACAAGGGGCTCAAAAGTGGGTGGGTCTGAGGAGTCTGCATACAATTCCCAATTCTCTCTCACGTGAGGGTATGGGATAAGTAGTGGAAATTCCAAAATCGGCTAAACATAACAGTGAATCTTAATATTTTTGGAAAAGAGTGATAGTGATCATCTTTAAGATAAAAACCTAAAAAGGGAAATAGGAAACTGTTGGGTGGGGTTAGGGGTTTGCTGCACTGGTAAAAGAAGTTCTTTTAGGAACACCAGCTGCATCTCGTGATTTTGAAATTCTGACTTCTTCAGGTTCCTATTGCTTGTAAACTGTTTTTAAATCCTTCGCCTAAAAGATCAGATCGATATAACGTAGGCTCACTGAACAGATAATATTGCACATGCACAGAGTGTCCTCAGGAAGCCTGACCTATCCCCAGTTTTGATTTTTGTTTAAATTTTCTCCTGCGCAGGTGCGCAAGGTTTTCTGCATGTATGCTGAAGGCACGGGCTTGAGAGTGGTCATGATGGCTGGGCAGAAATCTTTCGCCCTGGAGCAGGCCTCCCTTTTGGAGAACAAGTAAGGAACATGGGTTTATCTGGACTCTTGATGTGAAGGGTGGAACCGGAAGCTTGGGTTCCTGTCGTTGAAGCAGAATGCTCCTGTTGTTATAGTTTTGTAACCGAAAGACGAATATGTGGAATGAATTTAAGAAAGGAAGATTTACATTTTCCCAAATCCAACAAAAAAAAAAACTAAGAATTGTATGCAGAGTGGCTGAGCTGCAACCAGAGGTGAGAGCATGTTCTGTTGTGGTCTGCAAAAATTGTTTGTGTGTCCACACTGTTGGAACAGAAAGGATATTGTGCGAGTGTGATTAATCTGAGGTGTCTTTTCTCATACGCAGTGGTACAGGAAGCAGGAGCCTGGCTGACATTGTAGTGGCGACCCCTGGGAGACTGGTTGATCACATCAATAAAACACCCGGTTTCACTCTGCAACACCTCCGCTTCCTGGTAACTGGGGCTCGTGTTTATTTAGTTACTCATCCACTGGAACTCCCTTCAGGCACTTTTCCTGTTTCACGTCTCTGCTGACTTCATTTGGCTCCAGACTAATACTGTAATCATAAAAATGTCACAGTGTGTTTTGAGTTCTGAGATTTCTAAGAGCAAATAAACAGAATTGTCTAGCTAGTGTGATAGTTTAGTCTGGATACCTAAAAGGAGACACGTTTAGAGAACAGTGCCAAAGTGTATAGGCTGTCATACAATAGTTTAATTTTAATTTTTGTTTTATAAAAAAATAAAGCTGAATTGGTTATTTTTGGGGATATTTAAATATTCTGCGTTTCACTTCTTTAGATGATTTACAAGAAGGATAATTCTGAAACTCCAGACTTGCAACAGAACATGTCAGAGCGGTTATATTTTGGTTTCAGAGCCTCTGCTCAACTTGTCTACTCAGTTGTCTGGGCTGTTTAGCTATTGATCTATTCTCACATGTTTATTTTTTTCTTAAAAAGTTAAAATGTTGTGTATAACATGTTTGGAATTGCTGATTATCAGTAAGTCTGGTTAACAATTTAAACCCTTGTAATCCCTAAAGCCCTATTGAAAATTAGTGACTGCATACACTCTGATGATATGACCCCCTTGTGTGCTGCTGTTTGGAGAATCGTTGTCTCATTTAATGATGTACAGATTGAGTGCATTTAACAATTAAGAGTTTTGGAAAGCCATGTCTTAATTTTGACAAAATACTGATTTGTTTTCTCTGTTAATAACTGATTTGAATTATTAACAGAAGCCAAGAAGATTTAAAGGCAAGACGGTATAGTCTTGGGTTTGGATACGCTTTTATTTGTTGATGGTTGTTTGTGTGTAGATTATTGATGAGGCAGATCGGATGATTGACAGCATGCACCAGGCTTGGCTGAGTCATGTGGTGAAGGCAGCTTACAAAGGGGGGCGGAGCTCGGAGCTGGGCTCACTCTTCAGGAGGGCGGAGCCTGGGCCAATCACAGCAGCGAGGTAAGCTCTGCCATCCAATCATCCCATGGCATTCGTTTTTCAATCGGTGCAATAATAAAATAGCATCAGTCACATTTTGAAGCCCCGGTGTTGCAGAATCTGCC